TTGTACCTTTGCTTTTGCAATGGCCTCCATGTTGCTTGAGAGGTCATCGATCTCCATCTTGAATTCACTTTTCTCTTTCTCCAGCTTCTGTTTGACTCTCTGGAGATTATCGATCTGCTCTCCCAGCTCTGCCACGCTGTCAGCCTGCTTCTTGCGGAGAGCTGCAGCCGTGGCCTCGTGCTGCAGGGTGGCTTCTTCGAGATCCCGACGCAGCTTCTGAAACTCGGCCTCGCGCTTCTTGTTCATCTCGATCTGAGCTGAAGTTGCTCCGCCAGCTTCTTCGAGCCTCTCGCTGATCTCTTCAAGTTCCCTGGAGAGATCAGACCTCTGCTTCTCCACCTTGGCCCGAGCAGCTCGCTCAGCCTCAATCTCCTCCTCCAGCTCTTCAATTCGAGCCTGAAGTAAACAAGAAAGGAAATTGATTAAATGTGGAAGATGTTTAAATGCTTTATTTGTACAGTTTGGGCTCCTAGTTATACCTGATGTTCCTTTATCTTTTTTTGTAACTGGATTCCAAGGGACTGCTCGTCTTCAATCTTGCCGAGCAGTTGGCTTACTTCAAAGTCTTTTCTAAAAGAAAGGAAAGGTTTTCGAATTTTGTTTAAGTGAAGCATCCCCATACTGTTAAGTTTTCATTTAGAGTATTATTCTTACTTCTTAATCTTCTCCTCAGACTGCTGCTTGTCGTTCTCCAGATCCATTACGGACTCCTGAGCCAGCTTCAGATCTCCTTCCAGCTTCCTTTTAGCTCGTTCCAGATCCATGCGGAGCTTTTTTTCCTGCTCCAAGGAGCCTTCAAGCTGTCGTGGACAAAAAAAAAAAGTTTCATAATTGTATTAGAAAATTGTATAATGTTATTTTATCTTGATGCATGCTCAATAATCCAGGTAGAAAAATCCAAAAAAGTTCCATCTGGTCCTCTGGACATTCAAAAAAACAAAAAACAAAACAAAGCAAAAAAATGTAGATACGTAGAGGACCAGATTGAACTTTTTTGGATTTTTTGTACATGTTTTTATCCTTGTTTTAATACTCACATCATCCACTTGCTGCTCCAGCTTTGTCTTGGCCTTCGTCAGAGAGTTGACTTTGTCTTCTTCTGCCTGTAGATCGTCCAGGGTCTGCTGATGGGCCTCTTGGAGGGCTTTCTTCTCTTTCGTGAGTTTGGCGATGGTCTCATCTTGGGAAGCCATTTCCTCAACCAGGTTTTTAACCTGGTTTGAAAGATTCGGGGGGTTTAAATATGATGTGAACAGTGGATTATATAATCTTAAGCTGTGACTGTTATACCAACCTTGTTTTCAGTGGCATGTTTCTCCTTTTCCACTTTGGCCAGAGTGAGCTCCAAGTCATCAATGTCCTTCTTTAACTCGGAGCACTCGTCCTCCAGTTTCCTCTTCTTCGCTGTCAGCTCAGCATTGATCTCCTCCTCATCCTCCAGTCTTTCATTTGACTCTTTGAGTTTGGCCTCAAGCTGGATTTTAGCTTTGATGAGCCCCTCACATCTTTCCTCTGCATCTGTGAGATTTTCACCTTCCTAAAAGTGAATAAAGATGTTTTTAGTCAAAGAAGTGACTCCAGATAGGATTATTAGGAGCTATGTTTCTGGGGTGTGGTGATCAAACTCACAGACTGCACTTGTAATAACAGGTCATTCTTCTCCTGAAGGAGAGAAACCATCTTCTCCTCCAGTTCTTTCTTCTTAGCCAGAGCCTTTGCCAGCTCTTCTTTGGTCTTTGCAAAGTCCTCTTTCATTTGAGCCATCTCCTTTTCTGTTTCTGCGCTCTTCAGCAGAGGTTTGATCTTAAAGTAGAGCTTCATCCATGGCCAAGTTTTGACGTTCATGAAAGATCGAATGTTGTACTGGAGGGTGAAAATGGCTTCTCTGAGGAAATAAACAAGAAGCTAGCTCAAGCCTGTAATAACATTTAACAAAGGAAATAAAAACATCTGCACCACGGTAGCCAAATTACCGTCTTTCCATCATTTTGACAAACTCCCGCCTCATGAGGAAGCCTCTGCACAGAGCCTGAGTCATGGTGACCAGCTCAGCCAATTTGTCGTCCCTCATCTCCTCCAGAACTCCCAGTAGACCAGCTTTGAAAAACACCTTAGCATAAAATATTTAAACATGTTAGTAATTATCAGCTTCAACTTGTTTTCAGTTATTTTGCAAACAGCTTTTTTTGTAATTGAGCATTTAAATTTCTACCTTTGTGTGTCCAAACTTGTACTGAGAGTGGTCCACGTCAATGGAGGTCAGTAATTTTTCAGAGGCCTTCTTGTTATCAATGAATTGGCCCTCAGGGATGACACTGGCATTCAGTACTTTGTACCTAAAAGGAAGGATTTCCATCATTCAGTCAGTAACTTTATATTTGAACACTTCTTTCAGCCTGCAAAAATGTTGTTTCTTCTACCTCTGCTTGAAGTCACCATAGAGGATTCTGCTGGGGAAACCTTTCCTGCAGATCCTGATTCCCTCCAGCACACCATTACACCTCAGCTGGTGGATGACCAGGTGGTTCTCCATGAGACCTGTGGCACAAAGTCACATAAAAACTGATTTGTTTGGAGACAGGACAGTGACACAGAGACGATGGTCAGAATATGCTCTATGTTCATGTACCTGGTGTCTTGGACTCGTTGGGAATCAAGCAGCGCACAAAATGAGGATGAGTGCTCCTCAAGTTAGTCATCAACTTGCCCAGATTCTCCTGAAGAAGTAATAAAGGCTTAAGTTCTCTGAAAGCATTAAACTAAACCAGAATGATCTGAGTGATTATTTTACAACTTACTCTGAACAAAGCAGACACCGTCTGGAAGGAGCCTCCCTTCTTCTTGCCAGCTTTCTTGCCACCACCCTCAGCTGTCAGTGAAAGAATAAAAGTTAAATGATCAAATACATCACAAATAAAACTTGTTTACTATAATATAAACGTATAAATCCACATACCTTCTGATGATGCGTGGGATGCGTACAGGAAAGCCAACAGTTTTGCTGAAGACTTCTGGTAGAGCTGAACCACGGAGTCGTTCAGTGGGTCTTTGTTCTTTTCCAGCCAGCCAACAACGTTGTAGTCCACCGTGCCAGCATAGTGCATCAGAGAGAAATGGGCTTCAGCTTTGCCTTTGGCAGGTTTCGGCTTCTGGAAGGGGGCACTTTTTCCCAGATGCTGGTCGTACAGTTTGCTCTTGAAGGTCATGTCTGTAGCCTTTGGGAACATGCACTCCTCTTCAAGGATGGAGAAGATGCCCATTGGCTGTCACGATGAAACGATTGTTAGAAACAAACACTTTCAGAGTGTTTTCTGTGTTTGTGAGTTTAAACATGGTGCTAACCTTCTCAATGAGCTCAATACATGCTGCCAAATCCATGCCAAAGTCAATGAACTCCCATTCGATTCCCTCTTTCTTATACTCTTCCTGCTCCAGGACGAACATGTGATGATTGAAGAACTGTTGCAGCTTTTCATTGGTGAAGTTGATGCACAGCTGTTCCAAGCTGTTGAACTGAACGAGTCACGGTAAAACAGATCAGAAAAGATTCAAAAATGGAATTTCTTAAATTCGTGATGTTATTAAGATCATGTGAACTGGTTAGAAATACTCACATCAAAAATCTCAAACCCAGCAATGTCCAGGACACCGATAAAAAAACTTCTTGGCTGCCTGGTGTCCAGCATCTCATTGATTCTGACCACCATCCACAAGAACATTTTCTCATAGACAGACTTGCAGAGAGCCATCACAGCGTTGTTGACCTGATTTTACAAACAAGTTACATTGTACTGACAAGGATGTTGACTAGAACGCAATACATACAGTATTGTGAGAAAATTATTATTATTTTTTTGTATGTTTGTCCTGACATTTTTACCTGTGGAACAGTTTGACCTTTGGTCACATACTCATTCCCAACCTTCACTCTGGGGTAACACAGGGCTTTTAGCAAATCAGCAGAGTTCAGACCCATGAGGTAGGCGATTTTATCAGCCACTGAAAGAATAGAAGAGTCATTTTTCATTTGGCCCTCCTTTAAGAGACAATAAAAACTGGACTAAATCAGAGTTGGTGGTGAGTTTTGTACCCTCAGTGCCATCAGGCTCGGCCTGCTCTTCACGCTGCTTCTGCTTGAACTTCATGTTCCCATGATGCATCACTGCTCCTGTCAGCTTGTAGATGCTGACCTTCTCTTCAGCAGTGAAACCCAGGATGTCGATAGCGGTCTGTGGATATAGGCATAATAAGTCCATCATTTTCAGGAAGTGTTGCATGGACAAATATCCTTAAGACTTTTCAATAGTTAATTGTGTTTATGAGCTATTCTTACATCAGTGGCAATGAATTCTTCAATGTCGTTGATACTCTTGACAGTGATTTCACCGTGACTGATCATCGGATAGTCGTAAGGGTTGGTGGTGATGAGAAGAGCCTCTGAAGGTAGCATAAAACAGAAGCAGACATATAAATATATTCAGTATTCTGTATATAAATAGCATAAGATAAAGCATAGTTTTTTCCCCCAACATTAATACTATTTTCTAACCTATGAGTTCAGGTTTGTGGCCTGTTGTGAGCTGGTAGAAGATGTGGTAGCTCCTCTCAGCTGACAGCTGGAATGTCACACGGGATTTTTCCAGAAGATCTGTTTGGAGTGACGGCAACATGAATTTAACAAAATAATTTGTGTGAAACTGATTAAATGTCTTGTAAATATATACATATAAAATATCCTACATGTTTCAATATCAGCTGAAGCCAGCTTTCCAGTTGACCCAAAGTGAATTCTGATGAATTTTCCCTGTTCATAAGTAAAGCATAATAAAAAATTAAACATCTTGATTAAAACTTTATTACATCAGATGGTTTTCACCAAACAAATGTGTAACAATCTTATCTGAAAGGTAAATTATGAAGTTAACTCACAAAACGAGAGGAGTTGTCATTCCTCACAGTCTTGGCATTTCCATAAGCTTCCAACAGAGGGTTTGCTGCAATGATCTGATCCTCCAGTGATCCCTGAAGACAACATTCATCACTTCAGCCCAACAGCTCTTTGTTCAGATGATCATTTCATTTCACTCATTTACAACATCACTTACCTGCATTTTACCTGATGTAACTAGCTCACTCTTCTTCCCAGAAGCCACTGCGATTGTCGCAAAGTACTGGATGACACGTTTGGTGTTAACAGTCTTTCCTGCACCAGATTCTCCGCTGGTTTGAGGAGTGTAATTAGACACACATCAGTGTTTTCAATAAGCCATTGTTGGAAATCCTTTATCGTGTAAAATAATGAGCACTTACGTGATCAGGATTGACTGGTTTTCTCTATCTGTGACAGAAAAACAACATGGAATTGTTAGAGGCTGGTTGTTGAGCTGTAGCTGTTGTGTTTTTGAACAGATTACAAAACGATTAATACCTTGGAGCATGAACTGATAGGCATTATCAGAGATGGAGAAGATGTGGGGCGGAGCCTCAATTCTCTTCTTTCCCCTGTATCCTGCCACCACCAC